CCTAACCCACGGACAACCATTTAAACTCTAACCCTAACCCACGGACATCTATTTAAACCCTAACCCTAACCCATGGACATCCCTTAAAACTCTAACCCTAACCCACAGACATCCCTTAAAACCCTAACCCTAACCCAGGGACATCCCTTTAGACCCTAACCCTAACCCAGTGACATCCATTTAAACCCTAACCCTAACCCACGGACATCCATGTCAACATCTTCAGTCCCGCGGACACTTCCGGAATCGGCCCACTGCCGTGTCCCGGCCGGTACCTCCTCTCGGAGCGGATCTTTGGAGCCCAACATCCGGACCGACTCGGGTCCTGGGCCGGTGACCGGAGGAGGCACCGACCGGGCGGGCTGAGCCGTTAGGCGGGACCGACCCCCCCAAAACCGCCTCCAACGCCGTCAAACCGCCCCCCCGCGTCCCCCCAAGTCCCCCCAAGTCCGCCCCGCCGGCCGGACGCCGCTACGGGGTCCAGCCGGGACCAGGAGACACGGTACCTCATAAAACGCCTGCACCATTTCCACCAACACCCACTGCTGTCCGGACGCCATGACTGCTCTTCCGCCCGTGACGTCACGGGGCGTGCTGCGTTCAAGGTCCCCGCGTAGAATGGGACAGGCCGGCGCCACCACACACAGCCAATCCGGCTCTTTTAAAGAACTTTATTTAAACAAAGTAAGTACAAAGAAGTAGGGCAACAGCAACAGTGCGGTTCTGTGGGAGGCAGAGGCGGGTTTCAAACTGGAAAAACAAAGTGGCATTGATAAGGAAAAACAAAAAGAAGTGAATGATAATAATATATGATAATATGATATTAAATAACACAGCAACAAGGGGATTCATATGTTAGGATTGTTGTTCATCTGTGGGCAATTCCATTATTAGTTCAGTCAAAGAGATGTCAAATATAACTTGAATTCAGATTAAAACATGTTAAAGACTGGGGATGATCTCAACTCTGTTTATGAATAAAGAATTTAGCTAAACAGTTAATTTAAAATGTATATTGGTAAAACAATGATTAAAGGAGCTACAGACATAGTGCAGATAATGCCATGATTTAATAAATGGATTGAAATAAGACAGCTGTCAGTTGTAGATTTTAAACAAACATTGTTACTGCAGGGTTTGCTGAATGACCGTTACTCCTCATTGTAACTGTTTTTGTTTTGGTTGTTTTGTTGTTGTTTTATGGAAAAAAAGGGGAGAAAAAAAACAAGTGATTGAATTACTTTTATTGTAAATGCTGTTTGCTATTAAAGACCCACACCTGAGAAGCAACATTAATGACAACATTATTCACATTCCCAGATCAGCTGACTGTCCACCAAGAGGAATTTAGTCAGGTGACCTGAACAGGCCAGTGGGAGGGAAGCCAGCTAAAACCTACTTTACAAACCAGGAAAGGGAAACATATCATTACACAAATACAAATCTTTATAAAGGTAAATAAGTATATCTCTATAACTTTGATAATTGGTATCTAAAAGTGATTTAAAAAATATGTTTAAGCCTCTAAAGTATTACAACTATGTATTAGAGGGGAAACTCAAACGTCCATCCACAGACTCAGAACCTCTCCTTGAGCTCCTCATAGGCTGATCTTTCCGGAGGTAATATCCTGGAACAGGGATGTGGTCAGCAGCCTGTAGTCTCTCTGAGAGACGTCCAGGACGTAGAGGGGGTCCTGAGAGGCCTGAGGGTCAAAGCCCTCCTGGACCAGCTTCCCTTTGCGCTGTTTGAAGGTCTCGGTCACGTCCAGAGCTGTCTGGAAACAGGCAGCAGCCCCGGTCAGCCCAGCCCCCATGAGTTCCCCCGCCTGTAAAGCTGCATCTCCTACCTGTATTCTGATGAACCTGGGCCAGGCGTAAGCGGGGAGGGTCTTCCCCAGGTGCTCATACAGGCTTTTCCCCTCCAATCCCACACCGGCTCTCAGCACAAGAGCAGCCATACCAGCCCGACCTTCGTTTCCTGTGCAGACAGACGGAAAACTGCATCATTCCTGTCTTTTAGCTTTTGTGATGAGAAATTCAATCCCAAAGCCTGAGACACGTTGATGGGAATGCAACTCATTTGTCCTTTTGTGTCTACCTGAATTATTCATCACCATCTGTTTCGGATCAAATTGGATAAAAACAAGTCAAATCTTCACACTTTAAGGATTTAAATCACACAATTTGCATTGAATTAAACTCAAAAAACAATAAAAACACATTAAAAAAAGTAGTACTGAAACAAATGGAACAAAACAAGGAACAGGAAATGTAATGAAAACAAAGCAGTGGAACTTTTTTGTAGTTGGAACTCTTTCTGTGTTTGTTTCCTGTCATTTTTCTATCAGTTGACGTGTATTTTGTGAAGTATTCTTGACGTGTATTTTGTGAAGTATTCCACAGTATGAGGCAGATTTTCATGACGACCTTTCTAATCTAAATGTACCTGCCTCACATTTTTACACCAAATTCAAAAATCCTTGTGTCAGACGCTGTTGTTTTAACACAAAGCCTTCCAGAGAGATGATGGATAGATGACTTTCTTCATGAGGAGCAGCAGGGATCCACAGACCTGGTATGGAGACGCCATAGACGGTGGCTTCCTGGATAAAGTCCAGAAGACATAAAGCCTCTGAGACCTCTGTAGTGGAAACGTTCTCTCCTTTCCACCTGTTGAACCAAGTTTAGAAGATTTTCAGTCGGCTCCTCTGGACAGTGAGCAAGCAGAAAACAGGAATCATCTTAAGGGAAATACTGTTTAGCCTCATCCTCTATCTGATGACCTCAGCAGTCAGTTCATGTTTGTTATTTATTTTCTAAGCTTTTAACTGTCCTTCGAGGACCACATCTGTGAGCTCCATCTCAGTTTGATTTGAGTTCAATGACAATAAAGACACTGTCTGATGAACTGAAATACTTTTTATAGATTTATAATCCAGCTTCAATAACAAAATCTCCACTCTGTTTTCAGTGTGTTTTCTTTAAAAACATCCAAATCAATGCCTCATGTTGATCAGTGAGTTGACATGAAAGCTAGCTTCAAAAATGTATTTTCATATTCTCAATCTAAGGACTCTAATGAAGCTCTTCCTCCAAACCTACATTTGCTTTGTGCCGTCAGCTGGTTGCTGAACGACGTTTGATGCTAACTGAGACTTGGTGAAATACAAAAGCCTGAACACTTAAAGGCAGTTGTTTGCTCCCTGTGTCTCCTAGTGCTGCTCTTGGTGGAACTGTAGTTCTTCTGGAAATAACTCAGAGTGTGAGCTGCTCTGGTTAACGCTGGGAGATTCCTGCTACTGTTGTTGGGATGTGGAGCTCCAGAGATAAAGCTGAACTGGACTTAAACATTCAGCAGCATCACCTGAAAGTGTCTCCGAGGCGGTCCCTGAAATACAGGAAGTCCCTGTGGTCCCGCAGCAGCAGGTCTCCGGTGTTGAAGTACACGTCCCCGTCCTCAAACAGGTCCCGGAGCAGCTTCTTCTCCGACTGCTCGCTGCTCCCCGCGTAGCCCAGGAACTGGTTCCCGGCCGTCAGCGGGGCCACCAGCAGCCCCGCCTCCCCTGTGGACCAACCCCAGCCTGTAGGCCCTTCTGCTCACCAGCAGCCTCTGTCTGCAGCCTGCAGGAGCCTCGGCTGGATGTCCAGCTCCTCCCACATCCCAGACGGCCATTTTGATTAGGTCATGTGACTAGCAGCTTTCTCAGGTGGAAATTAAACTTTCCGGTCTATACGAAATCGGAAAACAACTCTAACCCTAACCCTCCACCCTGACCCAGATCCTAACCCTCCAGCCTTCATGATTGTGAGAAATAAATATTTTTTGGTTAAACTTGTTTGGACTTATTGTACAAACCTATTTAACATCCACAATTTTAACATAATATTATGGATAGAGTTTAATTCAGTGATTCATTTCACTATTTTTAAATTAATGTCTATATTGCCATGAAGCAATTACAATTTTCTTGCCTGGGATCTTCCTATTGGTGACCTAATCAAAATGGCCGACTTGGATGTGTGGGAGTTGGATATCCATCCCTGGTTACTGCAGTCTGCAGCAGACGGACTCGTTCACTGACCTGCTGGAGCCTGGATGCATCTCCCAGAGTCGGTTCTGACCGGTTCGTTGGTATCTGGGTCAAACTTCAGCAGTTTGAAAGGAATGGAGAGCTGAAAATGAACCATGATTTCTATTTAATTCAATTAAATTCAGCTTTATCTCTGTAGATCCAGACCCCAACAACAGCAGCAGGAATCTCCCAGCTTTAACCAGAGCAGCTCACACTCTAAGTTATTTCCAGAAGAACTACAGTTCCACCAAGAGCAGCACTAGGAGACACAGGGAGGAAACAACTGCCTTTAGGGGGAACAAACCTGGAGCAAAAACCATGGCTACTACTCCTGCCATGGATTCACCTCTTCCTTTCATAAGCGGGATTTTTTTGACCGGTTCTTTACTGGTACTCAGGAGAAAGTTTTTCAGTGAGAAACTGAGAATCATGGGCCTGTATTCAGATGAACCCACAGCTGGAATCCACCTGTCAGCCCGGAAACCTCCACAGTGTTCAGGGTTTGGAGCCAAATAATCCCTACGTCCAGAAGCTGGCTGTCTCCTCCTGCCTCCACCTGCCTCCTCCAAAAGATCAGATCTACTTTTTCCTACGGGTTTCATTCCATTTCTAACCAAACAAGAGGAGAAACTGATCATGCAAATACCCATAGCGTTGTACTGTGTGAGGACCTGACCTTGTTGAAGTAACTGGCTCTTCCAATTGGTCCAACCTCATCCGTGTAGTTCAGGAAGCCGATGCTGGTCTCGGTCAGGCCGTAGCCCTCCCTGACCTGACGAATCCCGAAGCGAGTGATGAACTTCCTCCACACATCCGACCGGAGCCCACTGCCCGCAGCCAGCCGGACACAGTGAGCCCTCTCCTCCAGAACCTGGACCCAGAGGAGAATCTCAGCACGGGCCTCAGCAGCCTCTGACGGGGTTCAAACATAGTATAATAATCTGTCTTCAAACAAAGCTGCAGCCGGTTTGATGTGTGGACTCTCTGGTGACTGCTGGAATACACTAGTGGTCCCCCCCCACCCGGTCCGTGGACCTGTACCGGCCTGTGGGTTGTAGCAGTAGTAGTGGTAGTAATAATGAATTAACCCTAACCCAAGAAATAATTAATTGGTTCTGTTGTATTTAGTCTCCGAGTCTGAATAAGCTCAAAACTTACCCCCCAAGTTAGAAAAAGGAGTAAAAACAGAGGTGATTGGAAAGTTTCTTT